ATATATTAATAAAGTATCTATCCATCCATCTATCCATATATTAATAATCTATCCATCTATCATTAATAAAGTATCTATCCATCCATCCATCCATCCATATATTAATAAAGTATCTATCCATCCATTATTAAAGTATATATCCATCTATCCATTAATAAAGTATCTATCCATCCACCCATCCATCAATCTATCTATCCATCCATCCATTTATCAATTTGACTTTCCTGCATCCTGTTGTGGAGAAAGTGTGCTGCAAATTTTAAATAATAATAATAATATTGATAATAATAATATTGATAATAATAATAATGAAAATAATAAAGCCTCTCCATCTTTCTTCTCATCAGCTCATTCCTTATTATTTGCAGCAGGTCAGAGGGACGAGGGATGGTGGTGGTTGGGGGGGGGGGGGTGTCACCAGATCCCACCGACAGGAAGCCGGGGCAGACGGATCGGTTTCACCAACACTTTTCTGCTGCGGAGGCGACCACAGAATCTACAGATCATCACATTTCCTCAGTTTCAAGTGTTTTTAAAGCTTTTAATAAAATGAATCCACAATGAGATCCATGAGCAAAACATAACTCCACCTACATCTATTTATTTTGTATTTAATCTTTTTGTCAGACATTTTCTTATTGCTCGCCGTTGAAAGACAAAGGCAGACGGTAACCTTTGTGTGTCTGTTAGCAAAATATCTCTTGAACTATTGGATGGATTTTAATGACACGGGACACTTTTGTGAGAGTCAAAGTTTATTGCAACTTTTTCCAAAACTAAGCTAATTATTAACACTCCAGTTGATATGGGGGCTGCTAAACCTGTTTTTATCATTTCATCCAAGAAACATTTTTTTCTTTGTTCATTTTGAGTTTCATTTCATTTTGAAGCCTAAATTGGATCATGTCAATATCATTTTAATTAATCAGATTCCAGCAAAAGAAAAATGGGAATTAAATCAATGTACACAATTTAACTTCAACTGTTATTTGTCCTAAATGAGCTTTGAATTTTATTTTATTTTTTCAAACAAAAACTGTTTTTAGATTCCGGACCAACAGTGAATACCTGATTTTAAAATATAAATGCTAATAAAATAAATTTAATTTACGAACTTATAATTCAAGATATTGGTAAAACACCTAAAAAAAATTAAAACAGAAAATTATAGTTCTGTAAAGAGATCAGAAGAGATAACTGACTGAATTATTCTTCAGTTTATGAAAAGTATGACTAGATTCTGCTTCCTGAAATCAATTATATACTTTGATTTCGTATTTTATAAATGTGTAAACAATATTCTGCTGGACGTTTTATTATTGGTGCCAAAATGTTGCCCGTGCACAGCTTTAAAACAAAACATGCCATAACTTTTGGTGGCATTACAGCATGAATAGAATCAGAATAAGCTTTATTATCATTGCACCGAGATACAACGAGAACATGTACGTACTGTCGTCCAAAAGATGCGTATAGTGCACGAAGCTGCTGGTAATTAGTGCAGCCCTTTTATTCAAACTAAAAATAATATTTTTAGATAGAATGGGCAAATTTAGTAAAAAAAAAAGCTGCACACACAAACAATGAGGATCAATAACATTTTGATTAAACATAAAAAACGCCAACCACCTTTGGAACTCTACAGTTCAGACTTCACAGTAGAAACATTATTCAAGGTTTAAATGAGTCGCAGAAAGTTGGACTTTACGAGTCTGAACTGGCATTTTGATATACAGGTGCTGATCATAAAATAAGAATATCATGAAAAAGTTGATTTATTTCAGTAATTCCATTCAAAAAGTGAAAATTGTATATTATATTCATTCATTACACACAGACTAATATATTTCATATGTTTATTTATTTTAATGTTGATGATTATAACTTGACAACTAATGAAAACCCCAAATTCAGTATCTCATTCAGTATATTAGAATATTACTTAAGACCAATTAAAAAAAAGGATTTTTAGAAATGTTGTCCAACTGAAAAGTATAAACATGAAAAGTATGCACATGTCCTGCACTCAATACTTAGTTGGGGCTCCTTTTGCCTGGATTACTGCAGCAATGCAGCGTGGCATGGAGTTGATCAGTCTGTGGCACTGCTCAGGTGTTATGAGAGCCCAGGTTGCTCTGACAGTGGCCTTCAGCTCTTCTTAATTGTTGGGTCTGGTGTATCACATCTTCCTCTTCACAATACCCCACAGATTTTCTACGGGGTTATGGTCAGGAGAGTTTGTTGGCCAATTAAGAACAGGGATACCATGGTCCTTAAACCAGGTACTGGTAGCTTTGGCACTGTGTGCAGGTGTCAAGTCCTGTTGGAAAATGAAATCTGCATCTCCATAAAGTTGGTCAGCAGCAGGAAGCAGGGAGTGCTCTAAAACTTCCTGGTAGACAGCTACGTTGACCTTGGACCTCAGAAAACACAGTGAACCGACACCAGCAGATGACATGGCACCCAAAACCATCACTGACTGTGAAGGTTGACACTGGACCTCAAGCAAAGTGGATTTGGTGCCTCTCTTCTCTTCCTCCAGACTCTGGGACCTTGATTTCCAAAGGAAATGCAACATTTACTTTCATCCGAGAACATAACTTTGGACCACTCAGCAGCAGTCCAGGGCAAGACGCTTCTGACGCTGTCGCTTGTTCAAGAGTGGCTTGACACAAGGAATGTGACAGCTGAAACCCATGTCTTGCATACCTGTGTGCGTGGTGGTTCTTGAAGCACTGGCTCCAGCTGCAGTCCACTCTTTGTGAATCTCCCCCACATTATGGAATGTGTTTTGTTTCACAATCCTCCTCTGCTTGTACAATTTTTTCTACCATATCATTTCCTTCCCTTCACCTCTCTATTAATGTGCTTGAACACAGAGCTCTGTGAACAGCCAGCCTCTTTAGCAATGACCTTTTGTGTCTTGCCCTCCTTGTGTAAGGTGTCAATGGTCGTCTTTTGGACAACTGTCAAGTCAGCAGTCTTCCCCATGATTGTGTAGCTACAGAACTAGACTGAGAGACCATTTAAAGGCCTTTGCAGGTGTTTGGAGTTAATTAGCTGATTAGAGTGTGGCACCAAGTGTCTTCAATATTGAACCTTTTCACAATATTCTAATTTTCTGATATACTAAATTTGGGGATTTCATTAGTTGTCAGTTATAATCATCAACATTAAAAGATAAACATTTGAAATATATCTGTATGTGTGTAATGAAAGAAAATAATATACAAGTTTCACTTTTTGAATGGAATTACTGAAATAAAATCAATTTTTTCACGATATTCTAATTTCATGACCAGCACCTGCATATTTTCTGCACAATCACAGTTTAAGTTTTATATTTTGGGAGATTTTTCTAGAGAACTTTGTCCATTAGACATTAATGTTTGAGCGCTAAAATGTTCAAATCTTTTGCAACCTCTTCTAACTCCTGCAACTCTTTTTGGTTCATTGACAAATTAAACACAGAGATTTTTGTCTTCTGCGCATGTTTCTTTGCTACAAGACTTAAATGTATCTCAGATCCCCCCCCAGAATACACAGTGCACTCATCCTTTGACAAATTAAAGCTGTATTTGAGCTCAACATATTCTAGTCAAAACTGGAAGACTATTATAAAACACGAAACATAAAAAAGTGTGTTGTTTGAACGTTGCGGTCTTCTGTTCAAGAATTTAAAAAAAATCTGACTTATAATTTTAGCGATTGTTTGAGATTTAATTTGCCTCTCATTATTTTGGCAGTCAGGGAGTGACAGACACACATGTGGTTACCATGGTGACCATAACTGGCAGCAGGTTGAACATGTCTTCTGATATTTTGGTTCTCTTTGCGCACTTCATACATCAAAATGTGATTGTTTTCCATTAGGATACAATAAAATCTGTGTAATTTTAGGCAGCTACTACATTTTCCCCTTACTATTTCAAATTAAAGCGCATAATTAACACTAAACTTGGAACTTAGTGATTGATGATTGAGGTTGTTGAGTTTTTTTTTTTTTTTTTTTTACTTTGTCACCCTGTAAATCAATAAAGAGTCAAATATTCTCATTTCCAGACATGATGCACCCCAGATAAGAGGTAAAGGGGGTTAAAGCAGCAGCTGTGTGGAAAAATACACACAAATAAAGAAGAACATGCATAAATGTGGCAAACAGCAAAGATTGGACCGTGATTTTTCTATAGTGGCTCGGATCTTCATTGCCTGCAGGCCTGTCAGCAAACAAGTGATGAAGATGAGAATCCGTTTGAAGCTGAGCTCCAGGAGCCCGGTTCGGTCCGACCTGTTGTTCTGTTCGGTCACTTACCGGATTTCGGCGGATAACGATACACCGAACTGGACGGAATGTCCACCTCCTCCACGCCGATGTTCTGTCTGCTCGTCAAAGCTCCCATTTCCAGTCAAATGAAGGAGAGCACGCGGCTTAACGGGGACATAACACCTCAGCTGTTTTTATTATTGTTATTAATAATAATGTTATTATTATACGCTGCGTCTTTTTTCAGTCCCGAGCATTTAATCCAGGTCGGGCCATTTCTGTCGCCTCCACCGAGCCCCCGCAGTCCGTCCGTGAATAATATGACCGTCCCGGGGATTAGTAGTTGTCTGGCTGCTTATCCCTCCCCAGGCGAACAGCAAACCTGGTTGTGGAGCAGAAAAAAGGAGTCGCTTTAGCAGCAGGGAGGCGCACAATGAACGGTTCCCCCTTGATGAGTGAGTATCCCCTCCGGTGTGGATCCTGTCAGGGAGGACTGTGGATCCCCATGACGTCACTCAGGCGCAAATCCGGACTGTGGGTTTTTGCGCAGTCCCCCCTCTCAGCTTAATGACGAAGTAACCCCCCCACGCTG